TTGTACTGTATTCAACCATTGTCTTGTAGCTTGATGCTTATTTCTTCTATTTGTTCAGCTTGTGTTTTGACATCAAATGAATAACATTGCCTGGTTTGTTCCTTCATCACTGAACAACACTTACTACATCCTAGATACTCTACTCAGCATTGTGGCTTCTAAGTAAAGGAGATGTGCCTTTGCTCCAGGTAGATCACACCAAATAACCACACTTCGGTCTAAGTTTAGGACTGGAATAAAGACAAGGCTTGCTATTTGTACTAATACCTTGGTTTCCTTTACATCCTTGCTTTCCCACATTCCACAATAAAAAAAAAAGAAAGAAATAATCACACATACCTTGAGTTTTTTAGTTTAAATACTTATGAACAAATGAAATGTGAGTTAATATATTTTAAAGGTAAGTGAGGAAATAAATTTTCTTAGTATTTTTAATTTTTTTCTTCAAAGTATCCATCTTTTCTTTTTTTACTTTTGTGCCAAAGGTATACATGTTTGCTTTTAAATAAAACAGGAAATACTAGATTACAGTGAAAATTGAAATTAGCCTATAATCCTATTTCCAGAATTATCTATTGACTTCTAAAGGTTTTCTACTGTGTATATATCTATATTTATGTGAATATGTGCTTTTCCCCTCTCCCTCCATCAGAGCCTGTTGGGACATTAGACATCTGGTACATGAAACAGAACATCGGCTCCAACAAACAACAGATCTCTCTTTTCTGGAAGGTAAGCCTTCAATTTAAAACTCAAGGAGAGTATATACTTAACAGAGTATGAGAACATGTCCTTCTGCTTCCATTGTGGCTTTGATATGGCACTTTAGGGACATGGGAGCTCAGACGATTCTGTGATACCTGACTTAATGTCATCAGCACTCCATTTGAGTTCCCTCTTCCAATGTTCACATCCTTGCTTCATCCCACTTCCATGACCAGCATTTCTGTCTCTAAACTGCACCCTCCCCTTAGCCACCACTCCTCCAAAACTGTGCTCCGCAGAGACCTTCTGTCTTATTGAGTCATCCTCAGGGAAGAAAAGATGAGAAAATTGAGAGTGTGGATGTTTAGGAAATTTTCCCACAGTTATTCAAAGAGAAAGGGTTTTTAAAAATTGAAAATAACCTAAATGGTAACAGAGAGCGACCCTCTTCAGCAGGAACAACAGAACACTAGAACCCGCCTTTCTTATGAAGAAGCAAAGTTGCATCTGGGCTGAAAGCCAGTATCACTACCTCATTTAATTCCCTCAACCCCCGTGGGTTAGGCACTAGATAGGAATATCTAAAAAAAAACAGAGAATGGTAGCGCATGCCTAGGGTCATCCAGTCACTAGGTGGAGATGGGGACTTGAGAGCCTCTCTAAATCTTTTTCTACAACTTGATGAGTCATCTCTGTTGAGTCAAAATACTGTTTGAATTCAGCAATGACTGCGTGCTCACAGGACAAGGTTTCCAGGTGAGGTGTACTATATTTTATTTCTCAACGCTCCTTCCCACCTCCCCCTACCCCCCCCCACACACACACACACACACGTATCTGGTACAAGAAAATCTCTTAAAAATAACTTGTTGCATCATGACCAAGCCCTTTACTTTGAAACTAACATTGCAGTTCAAAATGAAGCTGCTTCCAAGAACAATGTTCAAAGTAAGATATGTTGAGAGCCATAATTTGTAAATGAAAAATCCATATTGAATGTTTTATAATAAGGATGTTTTAAATAATGCTGCACTGCAGGGAGGGCTTGAGGGCATGCATATGAGTGTTCTTTTACAACACTGGAACACCCCATAACTGCAAAGAGGAAGTCCAAAGTAAAACTCCATCAGACTGTGAAGACAATGACAGAGTGTTATTCTTGAATGAAAGAAAATGTAAAATTGGTCTTACACTTTTGTAGGGTGTTTATGTTGTGTGGGTGCAACTCCTGTAGAGAGAGAGTGTGTGTGGGTGCAGGTGTAAGTGTGCTTCCATGAATATTTGTGGGTGGGTTGCATTATGAGATTGTGTCACGTATGTGTGAATGTGTTTGTATGTATATAAGGATGAGTGTGTACACAGGAGTTTGTATATATAAGGGAGTGACTTGTCAACCTATGTGTAGGAATGAATGTGTGTATGCAGGTAAGTGTATATGAGTGAGTGAGGATGTGAGTGGGTAGAAGTTTACATATGTGGGTAGAAGGTAACATAAAGTGTGTGGATGTATGTCTATGTGAATGTGTGGGGTGCTAAGATGAAAAAGACTTATTTCACTGTCACGTTTCCACAGTTCATCCTTTTCTCGTATTTCAGTTTCTCCTGAAAACTCCACTTCCTTAAAAAATACCTGTACTTTGTAATATTCTTATTATTGTTGCCTGTGTGTACATGCACAGATGTGTGTAGAAGTCAGAAGTCTTGGGGGAATCAGTTCTTCCCTTCCACCATGTGGGTCACAGGGATCAAACTCAGTTCATCAGCTGTGGTGGTAATGCCTTTTCCTGCTTTCACCATCTCACTGGTCCAATAGCCTGTACTTTTTTTTTTTTTAATTCATAACTATTTTTAAAAGTAGGCCCTATCTTGAAGCCCAAAAGTTTTAGGTAATCTAAGAAATGAAAGAAATGCAGTACAGAAGAAATGCTGTAGAATCTGCGGCAGGTTCTGCACTTGTGTGGCCATTCACCAGGAGCATCCTGTAAGCCACTTCCTACTGCCCAAGGCTTCATGCCATTTGCTCTGACTGCACACCTGTTTGAACCCATGACTCCTGTGTGCCTTTCTCCCAGAGCACACATCCTTTAAAGGAAAGCTGTCTTCAGTGTGTGGGTTTAGATGGAAACTGAAAGAAACATGGCAATGTGTTAAAGTCACATTGGCCTTTGTACTTGCCTCTTAATTTCCTCAGTATTGACCCCAAAAATTACGGTTGAGGCCCACTGATATGGGAAAGCAACATCTGTGTCCAAATGAAGCTCTATCGCTGCCTGGAGGGTAGCACAGTGTATGCAAAAAAAAAAATCATGAATATGGTGAGAGCTAAATTTTTCTATCTGAGGGGATAATAAGAAAGAAAACACACTCTTTCTGGTGGTAACTGTCTCTTCTAGTTCATCTTGAAAAAAATCTTTTCTTCTCTCGTGACGATCTCTCTGTCTCCACACGGCTACATCTCTCTTCTACACAGCTACACACCTCTCTTCACACATCTTGCTTCTACACATCTCTTTCCTACACATCGATCTTCATCTCTCTCACAGAAAAAACTCTAGACAAATATATGAGTTACATTTTGAGGGTTAAATAACATTTTTTTTTTGAGTAAACAATAAAGAAACAGACCCATTTTGGTAACACGTGAGAAATCACAGGCTAGAGAAGTCACACTGACTGGGCATGATGAGTAACCATGGCAACTCTTGGCTATCCACCAAGTTCCCTGATGTGTACTCTGTAAAGCAAGCATGTAGCTCTGAGTGGTCAGCATTCCTCAACAGAGAGGGCCATTGAAATTTGGGACCTAAACAATAAACAGTTAGTTGGCTGAACCTTGAGCCTTATATCACAAAAGTGAGATTAGGAGTGTGTACAGAGAGAGTCAGTTGCTGAGAGAATCTGTTCAGGGAGTTATGTCATTAATGTTATCAGCCAGGCTTTTGCAAGCAAAGAAATGGCACTAAAGTGGTTTCATGCCCGACCTTGGTTCAACAATTAGACACCTGGGAACTTGTCCTTGTGCATTTCATTTGCAGGGGCAACTAGTCTGCTTTGAATTTGCTCTGAGGTCTTAAATCAGCTAATTGTGTAAAATCTACAACTGTCTTGGTAGCTGAGAATATTGTCATTTTCCTATGTCAGTCTGAGCTATGAAAAATATCCTGGTATTATTTCTATTCATCAAAATTATGCAGCTTAAAAAGAAATAATCTTCCTGACCATCCACAGATATATGTGTGCCCAGCAGATGGAACATGTATGTGAGATAAACACACAGGCAGTGGGGAAAATAACAATAGCTGTTTTTAGGGAAGTAATGTAGTAGCACATGAAAAAAAAAAACAGACAGAAGCAATCAGTTTTCAGAGGTTCCTTCATCAGAGAGTTATTCACCTGGTGGGTCAACACCTGAATTACTGATTGCCATCTGTTGTATTTGTGTCATAGCCCATGACAAAGCTCTGCTTGCTCAGGAGCTCATCCACTCTGCCATCCAAACAAGTGAGCAAGCAACTCAGAGCTAGACATTTGCTGCCTGGTAGGATATGGAAGCCCCACCCAGGCCTTGCATCCCAAAGTTCACAGGTCATCAGGGGAACAGACATAGGAACAGGGTGATAAGGATACTTGTGGATTAAGGAAGAGTTCAAGTGTGAACAGAAAGGCATTCTGGTCCATCACCCAATAGATCAGGAATAAACAGTGAGTAGCAGGGAAAGGATGTCACAGCCAGTAAGACTAGAGCTGGACCCAGAAGCATGAGTCCCCAGGACAAGGATGAGAGGACATTTGTTGGGAGACCTGGAACTGAAACTTCATTATGGAAAGCACCACCTTGGTGAAACAAGCCATTTAACTTATGTAGAGATTGGGGATGGGGCAGGGGGACTTATGTTGAGATTGTTTTTAGTTTCAGGGATTGTATAATTGTTCATTATTTGAGGCAAGGCTTCACTATGTATCTCAGGTTGACTTTGAACTCACTCTGGAGTCCGGGCAGCTTAGAACTTGTAGCAATCCACCTGCCTCAGGTTCCTAGGTGCTGAGATTACAGACCTTCTCAAAACAATGACAACAAACAAAAAGCAGCAACGAGTGTGCCTTGGGGTTTCCATTGCTGCTACAAACACAGTGACCAAAAGACAAGTTGGGGAGGACAAGATTCATTTGGCTTACACTTCAATATTGCTCTTCATTACTGAAGAACGGGACAGGAGCTCAAACAGAGCAGATCCTGGAGGCAGCAGCTGATGCAGAGGCCATGGGGAAGTGCTGCTTATTAGCTTGCTTCCCCCTGACTTGCTTAGCCTGCTTTCTTATAGAACCTAGGACCACCAGCCCAGGGATGGCATCACCCACCATAAGTTGGACCCTCCCCCACTGATCACTAATTGAGAAAATGCCTTACATCTGGATCACATGGGGGCAATCCCTCAACTGAGGCTCCTTCCTCTCTGATGGCTCTAGCTTGTTTCAAGTTGACACATAAAACCAGGCAGGACAACTGGCCCCTTGTCAACTTGACACACAAATCCATCACTATTGAGCCACAACTCTTCCTTTCTTATTTATCCCCAAGTTCTCACATTAAAAATCATAAATGATTTTTAAAGTCCCACAAATTCAAACACATTAAAATTTCAGTCTCTTTAAAATATGCAATGTCTTTTAAGAGTTCAAGTCTTTCAGCTGTGAGCTCCTTTAAAAGTCAAAATTAAATTAAATACCTTCTTCAAGAGGGAAGAACCAGGGCACCATCACAATCTGAATCAAGTCAAATCAAACTCCAACAGTATAAATACCTCAATGTCCAATTATCTGGGATTCACTCATGATCTTCTAGACTCCTGAAAAAGGCTATGGTCACCTCTCTGGCTCTACCCTCTGCAGCACACACAGGTTGTCTTCCAGGTTCCTGCTGGCTCCACTCCACTGCTGCTACTGTTCTTAGTGGTCTTCCCATGATACTGGCATTTCCAAAACACTGGGGTCTTCTGATGCAACTGGGCTGCACTTTCACCAATAGC